TAAAAGTGTTTGGGTCCTTTATTGTGGAGTTTTATCCTTATTTGAGGTATGAAAAACCTACTCGCTCTCTAAGTCAGCATTAAGATGGCTACTCACCCAAGGGGACAGATGCTAACTCTCTGTAAAGCTTTTTTTGCCCGAGATCAATTTGCCAGAAGTTAGACTAACCCAGGCATCCGGGAGGTAGAAACTATGAAAATTTAGTACCTTGCTCCCTTCTGAGAAGTCTACATCCCTCTCTTCCATGCCCAAGAATGAGTGTGTGGTTTGCCCAGACTCAAAAACTGCCATACATCATGGGAAAGCATGGCAGACCTTCCAACTCTACATCACATGCTTTTTTTTTTTTTTTTTCCCCTCTTCCCACTCACATAATTAGTGCTCCTTTCTTTTACTTTTTCAAAATGTGCCTGTTTCAAATTTGTATTATTTTTTTCAGATGTCTAATTGCAGTTACGTTCTTTCCCTCTTTGGTCTCCTCCCGCATTTCACATACCAGACAAATATTTAAAGGTCTGTAAAACCAGGCGAGGCTCCAAGATATTTCTAACTGAAACTGCCATAGGTGACAGCACAGGGAAAGAAAGCAAAGTTGTAGGACGAGGATTTGAATAAACGGGGTGCAAACGTATTGGAAAATCTATTTAAGTTGCTATAGCCATGGATGAGGTTTCAATGAGGCATAAACATTCAAGTTCCTGACAAAACCAACATGTTTCATGATCAGTCAAAATAGTCTACTTGTCATGATGCATTGCATTTTTTTTTATTTTTTTAATTAGTAAGTTGCTCTCTCTTTTCATTTTTTTTTCCTTTTTCAGTATTCAGGAAGTGAAAGCATTTAAGAAAACATTCAAAGTTCTGAGAATACATGTAAGTGAAATATTTAATGTCTGTCATTCATAAAAGTTACATCATTTACATAGGGTTCATTTGTATATAATAAAAATTTCATCATAATGAAAACTTTTCTGGAAAGTTATATGTTAATTTGTTTAACATATGCTTTGGATATACAGCTAAATAGGAATCGTTAAAAAATTCTTTCTTCAAATATTCCCTTTAACAATTAAAAAAACCTCACTCCTAAATATTTGTTTTTCTTTCCACTTGCTCCTTTGTTTGTAATATCATATGTAATTTGAACTATGCAAAGATTGGATCTTTCCATAGTTCAGAATATATTTGTATACTTCAATAAATTTGCTCATTGCATAGCAAACATGTAAACTTACACAGGATCTATAAATTTTACCCTAATAATCTAAAAACGTTGCTGAAATTTTACATGATAGTTTAGTCTAAGGTTTAGTTTTTGTTGTAATTTGTGTTTTCTCTGTGGGTTTTTTTTTTTTTTTTGGTAATTTTTAATACATGGGCCAATTGAATACAACAAATAAAAAGTCATGAAAAGTTAAAAACCAAGTAAGTCATTTTATCCTAGGCTACCAGAATTTAACCTCATTATATTGTTTGGATTTTTTTTTTTTTTTTACTAAGTATAACAAGTTGGAAATGTATTGTGCTGCCTCTTAAGACAGTGTTCAAAAGTAATTTCAACAGTGTGTATTTAACATAAAGTTAACTATGTTCGCATCAAATAAAATGTTTATTAATGAAAGCTATTTATCATACAAGAAACAGCAAAGATAAGTCATCATACAGAGATGTACACTAGGAGTGACAGATGTAAAAGTGCATGCAGAGATTTCTGTTTAAAAAGGAAGTAATAAACAATAATACTAAAATTACTGGGTTTTGATTCCTATACTCTCAAGTGAGTGATAGCTTTTCTTTGAATTTACAATTGGAAAATGCCATCAACAGATAGGACTAATACACATTAGCAAGCAGGTGAAATGAATGTTTTTGGACTTTATTTTACAACTACTGTGCTTGACAAATGTGTGGGATTTTTTAGCAATAATAATTTTCTTCAAATATGGGGTGGGCATATTACTGCCAGGTTGCTCTGGTTTATACACGGCTTAACTAATTTTGTTTTAAACCACATAACTTTAAGCCTCCATTTGTGTTAGACACCATAAAGAACAGAATTTTTGTTAACATTCAGTAAATGACATTTAAGTCTCTCTCTGTCTCTCTCTCTCTCTTTTTTTTTTTTTTTTGGCTCAATAGATTTTAAAATGTATGATTATCATAACCTAATATTGTCTTTGTCTTCACTGCAGTGGATTTCCGATCAAACTTTTCCCCTTCTTTTAATACTTTAGGGAATTTTCAAACGTCGGGATGTTTGGCTGTAATGCCCCAAGATTTGTTCTCCCTGAAAAAAATCATAGTGACAATTTATTAACTACAGAGCAACTTGGCTTTTAGGGGTCTGCAATTTCTATTTTGATTTACAAATATCCATTTGTGCTCAATAGACCTAACATTAAATCTTAATCATAGCTAAGTTTCTTTTCATGCAATTACTTTGTCTGCTAATTATCATTTTTTTTTAATTCTAAAAATTGGGCGGAGTCAAATCGGTGGGGCATTACTTTTATTATAAGAAAATATATTAAAAGGTAATTCGAGGTTGAATTACATTGCATATGCAATGGTGTGTACATTTAAAATGAATCAGAAGTTTGGAAATCTGAAAACTATTTGTATGTTTGAATATTTAAAAATTGTTTGTATTCCCACTTTAATAGCTTTTACATATAGATATTGGAAACACACTAGTACAGTTAAACCTTAAATTGATGGGAAATAAAACTCCTTAGATTCAAAATGGTTTATTCACACAAATTTAATAGGATATATCACAATTGTTTGGTCCATAAATATTTAGGGGAAATAGTTTCTATACAATGCATTTATCAATAAACAAAGAAACATGGACAATTTTGCTAGACCACTTACTGTACTATAAACACGAAGCTCAATATATAAGATTATTGAATTTATCAACTATATTTGAAAGAGTGCACAACTGCTTTCTATGACATGTCTGTCCCCTCTAACAGGATACACCATAAAAAGAGTTTCAGAAATAAGAGGTAAAACAGTACAAAACTAGTGAGGTGTCAAAAGGGCTTAAAACAGTTAATTTAACAAACAACACATATATCCTGATTTTTCACAAACTTACTTCCAAGTTATATCATAAGGCACGTAGGAGAACTGAGTTATAATTAGTCTACTTAATAAAGTAGATCTATAGTACCATACATTGTTCTGTCAAAGAACAAAATTTATAAGTATCAATATTTTACCTGTAAAAGTGTATTAATAAGATCTCAGCCTTACCAAGGTTGTTTGGTCTGGTTAGTGGTAAATGCCCAAAATGTAATAGAAATATGAAAAGTCAAGATTTAAGCTCCATATAAGATGATAACCACACTTGCTAAATATATAATGGCAATCACACCTTTCTTCTGTTACAGTGTTAACTTATCTTCCATCATCTTTTTTTTAAAAAATAAGCTACTTTCTGTGCTAATTTTCTAAAGACCCTGAGCAAAAGTTACAATAATGCACTTTAATGTGGGCAGTGAACTGTCAATATGTAACCACACATTTATACAGCCAGAAGGACACCTTTAAAATCTATTAAATAGCCACTTCGACCACCAAAGGAGATTTAAGGGGTCCAAAAAGTGGAGAATATGTGCAAAGTTATTCTTAACAATCCACTAAAGCAAGACATATATCTTGACTTCTTTTTTATTTTTTTTAGGAAATCCACAATCTAATTGGTATTTAACTACAACAGAAGCGTATAGATGAACATTCACCACTGCCCAGACCATTAAGATTTTAGCTTAAATTAAAAGAAAAATAATGCTACTGTAAACTAGGAAATATATTCAGATCAGCATCCACGAGGCTTCTGAGTTTATCTACTTTAAGACTAATAACTTTAAATCTGTAATGCCAGAAAAGTTTTTTTTTTTTTCTGACAAATATATCAGCCTATGCCAAAGTAAAATAAAGCAAAACAAACCAAAGAATTCTCATTGTCGATATTAGTCTACTAAGGTTTTCTTTTTTAACATAATTCATATAGAATGCCAGATACAATATCATGGTACAGCTGAAGCCAATTAATAGAGCTATTAATTAAATTATACTGATTTTTTTAACTTCTTAAAAAATTATATTTTGCTTATTTCCATTTTCCCTAGGAAAAAAATTAATTTAGAAAGAATGGTTTTAGAACTATCATTTTTAGCTTTAGGTTAAAAGTATAGAATTTCAAGCTCTATATGGAATTTTCATAGATACACAGGGAGTGAAAATATTTTTCAAATGTTGAAAAGCAAATAACTAACAAGTGTTCCTGGGATGTACACCCCTAAAAAGAAGGAAAAGTCACATCGCTAGAACAGATTTCTCACCTAATTAATCTTTAATATTTAGAGCTGCTATAGTCAATGCTTTTTGTTTAATCATATTCCTCATTCGTAAGATGAAAGAATAATCAAAACATTTTTTCACTTTTAAAATAAAAAAAAAACAATGTGAAGTTTTCAAAATTCCATAAGTATACATACAATCGCAAGATTTAAAAAATAACTTTAATTATCTGATTCTTTATTAACCTAATCATTTAATTGGGAATATGATTATTTGCCCATTATCATACCACTTTTTTTTTTCTTCGAGATTCTGGAAATAAGTAACATACAATTTTAAGAGGCACTTATTAGAATAATTCAAAAACTCTCCTTACCAACTGAAAGCTCTAATTAATTTTTTTAAAAAAATCCAAATACACATTGTAGACAAAAACAAAACAAAAAAAACAAAACAAAACCAAAACAACAACAAAAAAAACACTTCGTAAAGGAGACAATTCTGTAAACTCATTTGCCAAGTGGCTGCAGATGCTACACACCAAGCTGTTGCTTTTATTTCCCAAATATCTTGTGGGTTAGAAAAAAAAAAATCTTGTAAATAATAAAATAATAATAATTAGAATAATAATAATAAAAAGAAGAGGAAGAATGAAAAAACAAAAACAAAAACAAAAACAAAAACCAATGTTAGAAAAGGTTCGTTAAGGTAGTTTGTGAGGGGCTTCCGGATTCGTGGCTGTCCATGTTAGAGGTCACGGATGTCACTACAGTGATAGTGGGATTGGTCAGGTCTGTTAAAGTGGTCGCTGTGCCGGGTGGAGTGAGAGCGCCGCTGTCTGCTGAGGGCGGGGCCGGAAGCGACGTGCCATCAGCTTTATCAACACCCCCATTCTCCTGCCGCAAAAGGTTCCTTCTGAATTTGGCTCGTGCGTTTTGGAACCAAACCTGCAAACCAATCCCAATTGATTTCTTTACCGATGTTTATTTTAGACTTCTTTTGTTTCTCTCTCTCTCTTTGTCTTTCCTTTTTGTTTCTTTTTTTTTTTTTCTTGCTTGCTTGCTTTTTTCTTTTTTCTTTTTCTTTTTTTGAGAGTATGTTTTCTTTTTAAATATAATTGTTTTTATTTTTCTTGGGAGAGAAGGGCTGGGGTTTGTTTTGTTTTTGTTTTTGTTGTTTTTGGTTTTTGGCTTTTTTTTTTTTTAAACAGAGTATTTCAAGTAATACTATGGGTACTCCCTCTCAACTGTATATATCCCCCCAGCACTAACAAGTGCCACTTGGGACAACTGATGCTTAAGTGGAGATACCATAGACATGAAGGCACAGAGATACAAGGGGGAAAGTATATCCTGATTCCTTAAGCGTTTGTTATCTTTTGAGAATGAGGAAAGGCAGGGTCATTGAAAGTTTCACAAAGTAAGAAGGACTCCTATGAAATGAACGTCACTGAAACAGATTTCAGGCTGTTCTTGAGTCTGACATGTGATAACTATTCTCCACATAGGAAAAACCCAGGGCCACAGACCCCAAGCAGCCAGAAACTGGTCGGTGGAATTTTAAGTGCCTGCTCTTCGTCACTGAGAAGTAGAAGAAGATCACAGGTGACCCACAGCAACCCACTATAATTTCATGAGTTGTATACTCTTACCCTTACAAGTTTAGAAAAACAATTGGACAGCAGGTCTAACTCTCAGTATTTAGTTTTGCTCTACAGTTTGTTAAAATGGGAAAATTCTTGCTACACTTGGTTGCTGAGACACATTAACCATGGCTGTGGCTTTTCCGGAGTTGAAAAAATGAAAAAAAAAAAAAGGGGGTCGATCTGAATTTGGAAGGTCATGGCATGTGAGTGAGGCTGCCAAGAGTTTGCTGAAGTAAAACAGCACCAGCGGGTCCCCCTCAAGTCTGTGCACTGAGCCTAACGTGAATGGAAATCTCTAAAGCCACAACTTGTACAAATAACATCACCCACATTAGCAGAGCAGTGAGGTGAGCTGTGCTGGCTTGGGTGGCCCCATCTCTCCATCGATAGGAAGGAAGAATGTGGCTGCATTTCAGAAGATCCTGGGTCTCTCTTTGGGCACCCTCCCGGAAGCCCCTGCAAAATTTCCGCACACCCTCTGGGGAGATAACTAAGGTAAACTAATGAGAAGCAGTACAGGAAATATCTGTATTGCTCTACACAGGGAAGAGAACTGTTTTTACTGGCAAGGGTAAGGGAGATTTATACACAGCCAATGATGGAGGTTTCTTACCTGCAAAACTCTTTTGGTGAGGCCTGTTTTCTGAGCAAGCTGCTTGAGGTCCTTGGCATCCGGGTTGTGGTTGATGGCAAAGTAGGATTTCATGGTCCGGAGCTGGTGGTGCTTGAAGGAGGTGCGCATGCGCTTGGTCTTCTGTGAGGGTGGGTAAGGCTGCTGATCCCGGTCCAAGTGGTCTGCCTCGTTCTCGTTACAACCTGTTGCGGGATCATCGAACAAACAAACAACTGCTCAGTGGGAAGTCCCGCACTTGCTGCAACGGTAGCGGTAGCGGGCTGTGCGATGCTAGGAAAATAACGGTGGGAAAGGCTGTCGACCCAATTATAAGCTGTATCGAGACAAGACAGAGGTTAATTACCAAAGTCAGCCAAAGCAGCCTCTTCACGTGGCCACAACCAAAGTTTATGTAATGGAAAAATGTTAGATGAATCCTCTCTTTTGTATAATGGTTGCTGGAAAGCTCGAGAAGATGAAGTCGCAAGTGTGAAAGAAACATCCCAGGAGTAAAAAGGATAGACTCTAATACGTTTATGCACAACCGCACCCTGCCCTACAGCGCACACAACAGTTTTTAGAGACTCCACACTTTGTCTGTGTTTGTGAAATGAGACATACTCTCTGAAGGCACTGCTCTTTGTCATGAGGGATATGCAAACCATTTCATCTCTCTCCAATCTGAGAGTTTCTGAGAACCCACCAACTAAGGAAGAGTCTAAGTCAGTTCCAATTTTTAGCTTGTTCTGATGTTCCTCGAGTCTTCTCAATCAGGAAAAAGGTGGAAAGTAGCTGGAGAAGGGGGAGAGTTTTACAAAATTAGAATTTGTAGATTTCTTATGTAATCCTAAGAATATTATTTTTGAGGGTTTTTAGCTATAGCTGCTTAATATAGGGCAGTGCCAGGAAGAAAACAGTTCTCCCTTGGAGTTATTTTAATAAATATTTCTGAAAGAGAATGAGCCCAGACTTCTCTTCACTCAGTTCATGCCTGGAGCACTCCCCACAGCTCACAGTTCAGAGACACTGCTGGTGCTTATTTCTCAGCTCAGATCTTGGCCCTCTTTGCTGTGGATGTTTGTGAGTGGGATTTGAGCTGTGCCCCTGGCTGGTCTGGCAGAAAGAGGGTGACATCTCTCTCCCTGCAGAGCTCTGCTCAGCACTGAGGGTAAAACGACCCAGACTTTGAAACCAGCCGGAGAGTCATTATCCCCAGGATGTAAAGCTGCACATTTAAAAGGTCATTTCCAATAACCTCCTGGCTCTGGGTAGGAAATATGACTACAAAATGAAAAATGTTTTGCTAAATATTTACTGATTCGACCAACTTCTCAACTTAAAGGGCATGGCGACTTTTTTTCTTTAAACCCTTACTTCAGGTATTTATACGATGTATTTTCAGATCTGATCATCCTACATTTTAGCACATTATAATAGAATATCTAAAATATTTACTGATTCGACCACCTTCTCAACTTAAAGGGCATGGCGATTTTTTTTCTTTAAACCCTTACTTCAGGTATTTATACGATGTATTTTCAGATCTGATCATCCTACATTTTAGCACATTATAATAGAATATCTAAAATTAACCTGATCATGTTACTTGGTGGCATGCTACTTTACTGAAGAAAGTAAAACATTTCTTAATATTAGCTCTTCTGCTTGATAAAATATTATTTGCCTGCTTTGCTCTGGTTAGAATTATGTTCTGAAACTTTCTGGTAAACCAGCATAATCAGCAGAAACAGTAGTTTGGGCCATCAACCAAGAGGTCAGGCACATCACAAAATCCATTTAACAAGAAATTTGCTCTATTGTAAGAAGACATTACATTAGGCATGAATTAATGTTTCCTTTGTTTAAATTTCCATAAGATACACAAGTAGGAGGGCACATCTGGCAAAAGAGCAGATGAGTTCATTGAGAGAAAGATTATATATACTATTCACCTTTGGGTCCCCTGAGTCAAGCACAGGGCCAGGACTCAAAAGCATTCCACCAAGATTTTGAATCTTTGTTCATCAATAAAATCAAGTGACTATTAATGCAAAGCCAAGTCAACTCGAATGGAATCCAAGTTGGCCATATACATACAAATGTTGACCATATCCTTCTTTTAAACTGCCCAGAAAAGTAACATACCCTCAGAGGTAAGAGAAAGAATATACGCTACATTTTATCCTATTTTAGCCCAGTGGGGGATATGTTGGGTTCAAATATTCTACAGAATTGCACTTTCATATCCTCAAATGGATGAAACAGCCTCTTAAGACCTACTATAAAACTATATTTATCTCTAGTAAACTGAGCTATATTTCACAACCAGATTATAAATGTACCCACCACAAAATGGTCAAAGAGCTACACCTGGCTTTGGGGCTTCTTCAAATAAGATTTCATTCTTACCGTATGTGAGTAACATTTAACTTTTCCTGAACACATCAGATTGAATATTACACTTAGAGGACTTAACTAAGTGCTTAACTAATGCCCTTAGCCACTGCCCCAACTCAAGGTATTATTTCTTAGAGATGAATGTGATTCCTAACCTCACTATGTACTCATTAGTCTTTAAAATGAAGTTTATGAAAAATAATCATAGAACAGTTTGATTAAACTGCTTTTCTAAATATGCATTCTACATTCATTATTGCTGATTAAAAATTCAGCAGATAACGTTAGTTCATTAAACACAATTATGGGACTTGTTTCCACACAGTATACGGTTCAGTGTGTAAGAAGATTGTTCGCTCTTTATTAAACAGATATTACTGAATGCTTTTCCTGTGACGGTGTTATCATATTACTCAACTGAAAAGAGCAATCTACTTCTTCCACACGGTAACTCAGTGCATTATCCTAAATTGTTTGTGTTTAACTAGAGATGCATTATATAAACTTGCAAGTGATTGTGTTTCCCCAGGGTCTACTTCAGAAGTATACTTGTTTCCCCCCACCCCCTGAATTATGAGATGGAATGACAACTCTCTTAAAACTACTTTAAACGTCCACCTATAAGTACACATCTGACACATTATAAAGTCAGTGAGAAGATCTAAATATTTTCTTTTCCAGTCACTGATGAAATAATGGTCACCTGTACTAAAGTGAGTTTCTGTTCCGAAGGTATGTAACCTTCTGAGAACTAACTGATCCCTGGGAGACCACTAGGGGTCAGTGCCAGGCTAATTTCACAACTATCAGGAGCTTTAGACTCCAAGAAAACCCAAGGAAAGCAGATTTTAAAAACTGGCAAAAATTTAGTCTCGCCACTGTCTCTAAGTTACCCAAATAGGAGCTGCCTATCCTACACTAAATCTTCACTCCTGGAGGGCTGCCTTTCAATCTAGGATTCCAAATAAACTCTCTATGTCTCTTTCTAAAATATCAGCCTGGGATCTGCACAGGGAGGATTAACTAAATTAGTAATATTCTCGCTAAAAGGCATTTGCCAGATGTCAAACACTAACTGATCTTTGCCACCTTTCACATCTTCTCTGGACGTCTTTGAATCATAAACATATTTAATGTATAGGATTTTTTTAATATATCAATTCATAGATTGCATTTTAGTGTCAACACTACTCTTTCTGAAACTAGTTTACAATTAAGCAGAGATGCAATATAAGACCCAAAGAAAGCAAAAATAATGAGTTAAAACTGTGGGTCCATCTCATTTTCTACCTTTTAACATGTTTTCAATTTGCTGAAGCTTTTCTTTTGCTAGTTTTGTAACAAACTGGCATAGATGGTTAGATGCATAACCTTTTTTTTAAAAAACAGTGGGATTGATTTCTGGTCATGTATCTTTGATCCAGTTTCTCTAGATTATTTATTTCCATCTGATTTTAAAGATGTATGTACTATTCGTTTGTATCTCTAGGAAAAGTCCAGAAAGGATGGGGTGGATACTAATTAAAAGACATCCAGTCTGAGGTCGTGTGATGTTCAAATTCCGGATAGTGAGGCCTCAGCAACCGTCTCCTCCTGCAGTAGCTAAACAGCATCACCTTTCTCGAGAAACCTTGCAGCATTAATATACAAACTAAAGGCCTAAGTGGAAGGAGATTTTCATTCTTTTTTTTTTTTTGAAGATATAAATTTGTATTCTCTAGCTACCACTAAATTTTATTGTCCTTAAAGCTCCCAGCTCTTCCCACTAAAGAATGATCCAAGGCGAAATCAAATTGAGCTAGTTAGATTAAATAAACAAGCGGAAAAAATAGGATTGCTTCCCTGTGGCTAGAAATGTCCACCTTTTTGCACACTTTCTCGGGCGGAGGGATTCCCTCTCTCCCAAGGACTCTCCAGTTATGTGGGTCCCGGCCTCTCGGTCTCTGTCTCTGTCTCTGTCTAATTAGGGCATTAGGGCCTTGGTGAGTGGCTCGAGATTCCGATGTCATCTTCTATTAATAAAGAACAATTAGTGCCCTGCCTGTCCTGCTCCGGGGACCTCGCATCAAAGGAGATGAAATGAGCGCGCTGGGCAAAGTGGCCCCGAACCGAACCCCCGCGGAAGTGCAGCAGGGACGAACGCCAGGCCGCGACCCGCAGCCGGGGGTGGGCAAAACCCGGGGCTGCGCCCGCTGCCCCGCCACAAACCGATCCTGGTGGGGTCTGGAACGAGCCGGCTGGCCTTTTCCCTTGCTCTAGCGACCCTGGCCTGAACCCCCTAGGGACAAATGTCGCTGCGCTGAGCTCCCTGGTCGCTAATCTCCCTGGGACGCCGCGCGCTGCGCTGGCCGGGTCGGGATTCCTTCTCCTCAGTTACAGCAGCCGAGAACCCCAGGAGGCAGCCCAGCGGAAGGCTGGGGGAAGCCGCCCTTCCTGAGAGGCTTCCCCAGGACACTCTGGGCTCCGAGCAGGCCTATCAGTTCCAAATGGTTCACGCTGGCTGTGTGACCGTGGGTAAATCACTTATCCTACTGGATAACTTTGAGCCACAATGGGTCAGACACCATACCAGGCACTGGGGACCGGAAGGCAAAAACCAGCAAGATCTGTGCTCTGGGACGTCCATGCTTTGGCTGGTAACTGGGTGCTCGTGGTAACAGAGTAGGGTTGCCACAATGAGGGTCCCTCGGGTCCCTTCCGGTAGAATGGACTCCCTAGCCTGAGTCTACTGTGGGCTGAGATTCCCAGCCAGGGCTGGGCTGGGCATGGGAAGCCAGTCCTTGGTTTCCCAAGCATTAGCCTGGGGGCTTTCCAGACCCCCCTTTTTTTCCCCAGTGTCTGCAACTCCTAAGAAGAGCTTCCTTCCTGCTTGGAGTTCGACGTGGTCGACAAGGTCCATCCCTATCCTCACCTGGGGGATGCAGAGCAGGGGCAAGCTACCAGCCATGGGAAACGGATGATTGAGAGATATTGGTAAGTGATACATGTCTTCCCAAAGCAAGGGAGAAAGTGTGCTCTCAGGCCTGTTGCCTGCGTTTCGCTTTTAATTAAGACAGAAGGCTGGTGGAGGATAAAAGGGTGGCCTGTCGCACCACCGCGCTGCCTCAGTGGTCCTGACCTGGAGCATCTTTCAGTTTTCCAGGGGCTCTGGAGGTCCTGGTGGTTTATCATACAGGGAATGAGCTGGCTGGATGACTGCCCTGACCTACACAAGGGGCAGGCCAGCTCAGCTGTGGAGGCTGATTCCTACCCCTACAGCTGCTTTTTCACCAAGACCAGGGATTTGGTTTTCCACACTCCTGCCAACTGTGTTCCTGATTAACTCTGGGCTGGTGACCACAGCCTCTGCTCCCTCTAGACAGACTGGAGTTGGGCTCTGAAGATTTTTTTTTTTTGCAGTATATAGGAAAACCTCCTCCAGGATCTATAATTTGCTTCAATCAGGAAGTTCCAGCTGCTGTTTTTGTTAACTGGGAGCCAGAAACTACAGCTATTAAACACTGGTGGTACAAGGATTTGCCCCGCTGTTTGGGGGAAGTCAACATTGAGCCTCATGAGTTATGAATGAGCATGTTTCACAACCATAAAGGTCTCTCTCTCTCTCTCTCTCTCTCTCTCTCTCTCTCTCTTCCCTCTCCCCCTCTCCTTCTGTCTCTCCTCTGTTTCTCTCCTTCTTTCTCCTCCTTCTGAGCGAAAGGGAGGTGTGCTGAGGAAAGGGGAGTGTTAAGCAAAACACTCTTGCCACCAGATCTCGGACGGGAAAGGAGTTCTGTGGAATCCTCCGCTGGGCAGCCAGAGGCCAGGGCTGCTGGAGGGGTGAGGGGAAAGTAGCAGGGCTCACCTGAGTTGTAATTGACGATGTCCACTCCCAGCGCTGGGCTCTTCCGCTTCCGGGGCCGCCCTTTCTGCACGGTGCCAGTGCCGTTGAAGTAAGGCAGGGCCAAGCCGCCGCTCTTGGCCGCCAGCTCGGTGTAGCTCAGCTGCGGTGTATACTCCCCTTGCAAGAGGGTCTCGAAGTGGGCGCGGCAGTACACCAGGCTGTCCTTCATGCCAAAATGGTCGCCCGTGGTCAGGGTCTTGTTGCACGTGGAGCAGGTGAAACAGCTCAGGTGGTAGACTGAGTCTCGGGCGCGCATGACCATCTCGGAGGCGGAGATGCCAAGGTGGCAGCGGGCACATCTCTGCACAGAGAACCTTCTGGAAAAACAAACCCGTCAAGTCAGGGCGCTGGTTGAGGCAAAGACGGGGCCATCTCCCACCCGTGACACCTGGGGTTTGGTCAGCGGTGGCCCAAGACAGGCACGTAGGAGGGTTCTGGGAGAAGAGGACACGGGTCCGTTTGCATTTGGTCATTAATTTTGTTTACTTTTTGACCTGTTCTGGTGAACCAGGACCAAAAAAAAAAAAAAAAAAAAAAAAAAAAAAAAAAAAAAAACACCTTACATTAAAATAAGAAGAATTGGGTAACATCCTCAGTTTCCTTTTCTGTAAAGATTAAAAGGGAAAAAAAAAACACAACAAAAAAGCCAAACAAAACAAAACAAAACCAAAAACCCGCACTTAGCTAACTCGAACACTATGGAAAGAATCTTAAATTTCAACGCCGAGGGAAAGCGTTTCATCCGTTACAAAATATCCTATGAAGGGTGGTATTATTATTATTGTTATTTATGGATGTGTGAGTGTACGTGAAAGCATTCAGACAGACGCCTCCGCAGAGGAAAGCTTATTCTTTTTTAATCACCTCTCTCCTCTGATTGAGAGCAGAGCGAGGTCACTTGCACATAACTGTTCTCTTTCCCACCCCAGAAAAATAACTGGGAAGCATCACAAAAAAACATCCCCCGAGTTTACTCTCCAGGCTGACCAGCATGGTTCTAACTCGCCGTGAATGGAACTCAGAACTGAGTGGCTTAGGTTTCTTTCACCAACGGCGATTATTCCTTTTCATGGTCATTTACGCGGTTTCCCGCCACCCTTGTGAAAACATAACACCCGGATACGGCCGCCTGGACCACCAGTTCATTTCCAAGGTGAGGATCTCGCCCCGTTCGTAGTAAACGGAAAGAGAGGGAGAGAACACCCCGCTTCGGTGTTGGTCGACAGACAGGCGTGCATTCAAGATTCCGAGCTTTCCCCAGATCCCCTCTACCGAGCTGTGCAGTGTCGGGGATGGGTGCTATTCACTGGCAGCTCCAGACCTTGGGGGTTCCTCCCACCCATCCTCACTGCCCTTGGTGGGGGTGGCTCAGCTCGAACCCGTCTGCAGTGGACTTCCCTGGTCTCGGGATTGGTAACAGTACCCCGAAGGGGCGAAAGGGGGCGAACCGAGGAGAGGCTCCCCGGCTCGGGCAGGTGGCTGCGCCAGGTGTACCAGGGCGTAAGAGATCGATAGGGGCGGGAATACCTGTAGTAATCCTCCTTGCAGTAAATGCTACCGTCCTTGGCGAAGCAGGTGAGCTCCGACTCGAGGGCCAGCTTACATTCACAGCACTTCAGGCACCTCAGGTGCCACTGTTTGTCCACAGCCAGCAGGTAGTACCTGTCCGAGATCTTGCCCCCGCAGCCGGCGCAGAGAGCGGGCTTCTCGGGGCTCAGCGGGGGCATGCCCTGCAAGGCAAGCACAACGCACCGCTGAGGAGGACGTGCGGTGGGGACGCACAGCTTCGAGACCCCTCTCCGAAGCTCAAGTCGTTTGCGAAGCACCTCCAGGGGCAGGGGCCACAGTGCAAAGGCAAACGTCGGGGAAAAGTTCCCCGCCGCGACTCACTCCATTTCTGTAGTGTCTGCCTGGACCCGGCGTGCGCATCCTCCTGGGACTATTAACCTAAAGACGCGTCGGCCACCTCGAGCCTCTTTAAAATGCTAGGACCGCACTGAGCAGAGGTTGGGCGCGTGCTCCCCAATTCGCAAGTACAAGCTAAAAATTGTGGGTCTCAACGCACACAAAACTGAACAACGGAATTTTTTACTGGGGAGTGGAGAGGAGATTTGGACGAACACAGACTTTTTTAAGACATTGTATTTCTCTAAATTCCTATGGGCAGAGTTAAGTTAAAAGGAAGGAAGCGATTATTATACCCGTGCTCACAATTTGGTCGACATTGTTTTGATCTGGATAGATTTGGCTGTTCTCTGTTTTTCAGGGATATCGGTCCCCTCCCCAGTAAGGGTATAAAGTGCCTGTTCCCAGGAAGAGTCTATTGTCTGGTCCCCTCTGCACAGTCCCTCTTTCCCCGGCATTAACATACCCAGGAGATCTGTGTCCTGAAAATCTGTTTAGTGGCCAGGTTAAGCTTCCCGCCGGCTGACCCACCGACACGGCCGAGGATGAGGAAACCTCACCTTGACCAGCCCAGCCCCGCCGCGCAATTAGAGTTTGGGTTGCTGCTTTTTGTTTTTAGACAAGATAGTCACAGCAAGGAAAAAGAAAAAGAAGGAGGTAACCGCTGGACATCTCCCTCAAGACTAGCAGGAATGGGTTGGACTTCCCCACAAAACTTTGGCGGGCCTGGAAAAGTAAAGTCCCGTCCTTTACTCAGACCAGCCCCCACCTCCTCCCCGGTACAGAATTCATGTTGCAAATGTGGAAACACCCACGAGCTCGGCTACTTGGTGGAACCCAAAACACCACTGACCCGCTCGGGGCAGAGTACCGGGTTAGTTTGCGCTACAATCCCCGGTGTGTTGCCAAAGGATGTGCACAGCTCTGTTTGGCTGAAATCATTTCCGGAGACTTCTGCAGTTTTCCCCTCCCGGCTCGTAAGTGGGAAAGGGAAGCACATAGACTATTAATTGGTTTTCTTTATTAATCGGACATGACTTTCATTAATATGAATAGCGGTAACAGTGGTCGTTGATTACACCGCTCAAGGGCTCCGAAGCTCTCGCGCTGGGGCTAGGTGCCCGGCTCCTCCGGATTTTTATTAGGTTTCCCCCTGCACGTTCCACCCGCCCGGCCCGGAAGTTGAACGCCGTCCCGCTTCGCTAGAGGGGCCGAGCCGGGCTGCGCGAGACCCCGAAAATCGCCGGCATAGGCAGTGCGGAGCTCCGAGCGTCCCGAGAACTGAAGGTGGCCCAGTTGAGTCCGAGTCCTCTCCAAAGGTCCGGTCACCACACCCAGAGACTAGAGCCACCTGGGCTCCTGCTTGGCCCGGACGCCCCGGCTGCGCGCGCCGTCCGCGCGTTGCCCGCGCCCAGCTCGCCCTCCCGGCCGCCACCCTCGCCGAGGAGGCGCCCGCAGTCCGGGGGTAGCGGAGACCAGAGGTTGGGGCTGCAGAAGAGGACATCCCCATCCTCTCACTCCCGGCCCTCCTGCTCTGCCGGGAACAGCTGCGGCAGAGAGTTGCGAACTCACAGTCTCGGTCGCGGAGACATTTCAAGCCAGAAAGGCGGCCGTTTCTTAGCCCGGCAGGCAGTGGGCGCGGAGAAAACCCACCCGACAGCCGGGAACGGACGTTCCCTGGGACCCTCCATCCTCAACTCGGCCGGCCAGCGATGGAGACCCGGCTTCGCCGAGCGCGCAGAGGCGCCTGCCGCCCGCCGCCGAGGGGGCCCTTCCTTACCGCGTCGCGGCCGTTGAGCTGAGCGCCTTTGGCCAGGCGGGCCTCCGTCTTAGATCTGCGCTCCATCTCCTCCATGATACCTTGGATGTGGCCTCCGGAGATCCCGTGGAAGAGCATGGCTGGGGGACGGAAAGGACACGAGTTGTCTTCTGCTCGGCACCCCACTATTTCCATATACACACGCCCGCGGCTCTCAGCTCATCCGAGTGAAGGAGCAGAAGGGACCGCAGAGAGCTGCGTGTTGGAGGAGCGCAGAGGCGCTCCGGGACAGAGGGCAAGAGGGAGAGAGGGAAGAAGAAAGAGGCAGACGGAGTGGAAATTGGTGTGCTCGGAAAAGAAAAAAAGAAGGGGGGGGGATCCCCAGCGTCTCCCTGAAGGAGATGTGCAGAAAACAAACAAACAGGGGCGGAGGGGAAAGGAGACGAAGAAGGCGAATCTTACTGCTCTGAGAGATCGAATTACTAATGGGAAACAACACTGCAGCGGGGGGAGGAAAACAAAATCTGGCGAAGAAAGAAAATAGTTTCGAACACAAAGAAAGAAAAAGAAGTGCTATTTTCAGCGGTCCCTGGCTGCTTGCAAGTTCCCAGTGCCTGTAGGTTGGGTTGGGGACTGCTCCTGCCGTAGCTGTGTCCAATTTGTTAAGAGACTAAAGCCAGCCCATTTTTGATAATTTAGTAGGAGGAGTTCTCTCCCTGGAGCTGCCACGGATTTTTATTCAGACAACAAAGACCTGTCACACTCCTCTCAACCCCCTGGTGATGGGCAAGCAGGGACAAACATTACAAAGGGGAGGGGGCTGGGGGGGGAGTAGGAGGGGGCATTTACTTCCCCCAACACACACACACACACACACACACACACACGCACACACACATGCACACACACACACACATCCTTCCGAGAGTTCCCAGTAATCATGTTTTAAAGGGGAAAAGGAGCCCATATTGCCCCCGCCCTTGTGCAGGAGGCAGAAAGCCCATCTATTTGGTCCAAGTTCAAGATCAGACCCCAGCTCAAGGCACACAGAATGTCAGCTCCAAACTTTGGGTTTCCTCTTTGTGGACTTTTACGGTCCCTAGCTTGCAGGGGCTCCCAAATAAGTAAATGTTAAAGAGAGATTCCTCTCTTCCCATCTTCTTCAACTCACTTTTTAAAAGCAGGTCTCCTCACCTCTCCTAGAGGCCCTCCACCCTACCAGAGCCTGGAGCACCACCACCCCCCCCCCCAAAGTGAAAAACAGGCTAGGAGAACCTAAGATTCTGGCTATTGGTGGCAAAAAAAGCTTTTCTTTGAAAAATGAATGTAGAGGACGAGGCATGGACTTGTAGTGGGGAGTACTCAACTGAACCATGACGTGGGGTGAGGTGTTCTCTTACCCAATTCAGGTTTGCAGGTAATCTGCTGGGGATCCCAGGGTCCCCCTTGAAACCTGTCGATGCGGGCAGCAAGTGGAGGACCCTGAAGGACTAGGTGCCTGCCCAGTTGCGTGCTGTTCCCACTGCCCTTGTCGGACGGGGACTTGTAAAACTGGATGTGCCGCAATTTTAGGAGGATGTGAAAGGGCTCCTCGTGGTGGAGGAGGGGAAGGTGAGAGCTGACAAGCAGAATTGCAGACCTGCGCCTCACAAGAGGCGGGATTGTTCTGTCTCCCTCTGTTCCCGTTAGCAGTGGCCCCTCCTTGGCCCTATTAAAAAGTGTCCACAATACTCTGATATTGTCGATTCATGCAAGCCACCAGAAGCCCCCTAGGGGCCCGAAGCGCACAGCAGCGGCAGGAACCAGCCCAGCTTTAAGCAGGGAAAGTAGGAAGCTGGGGCTGCTCTCTGCTTCTTTCCTCCCTAGTGCCTGCCTGTTTCCCACCACCCCCATCAGCTTTCCCAGGAATGGCTCACGTCCCGACACATCCTGGATACCTCAGAGGGGTATGCTGGTGGCAGACTTGCTTCCCTCTAGGGAAACTGACTTGGAACAGCGGCCCAATTTGGAAAGATGAAGGGGGACAGGGAGGGAAGGAAAGAGGAGGGAAAGATAAGAAAGAAAGAAAGAAAGAAAGAAAGAAAGAAAGAA